CTACTATGGAGCAGAGCCAGACCGAACTTCCCCGACCTCAAACTTTGTGGGCGGGACTAAGTTCGGAATGGCACCCAGGCTAGGACAACAGTATCTTCAGCTGAATTAAAACAAAATTGAGCTATAAATTTTTGGAACATAGAAAGATTTTTTAAAGGTTAGCACCCAGCTTAAATAACTCCAGCTACAGTAAAAACCACCAATCAGGCTCTAAATCTGGTAATAGTGATGGACTTGGACCTGAACCTCCAGAGGCTGATAAAGACAGTAATAAATGTTACCTTCTATCACCTAAAGATTATCTCTGGACTAAAAGACTAATATCACAGCAGGACTTTGTAAACCTAATTAATGATTCATCTTTAGTAGAATTTATCACTGCTGCAGAATCCTGCTGCCTGGGTCCTCACTAGAACTATCAAAGTAGAGAACATCAACCCAGTTCTAAAGTCCTTCGACTGGCTCCCGGTATTTAAGAGAATAGACTCTAAAATCCTTCAGTCTATAAACTAGAACAGTTTTAGTACAAGTAAGCAGGGATGTAAACACATTAGGTCAACCTGCAGACATCATTACACATTAAGACTCAGAAAGACTTTCCTTTGTCTTACTGATTTGCAAAAAGTAAACTGTACGTAATAGAGGGAAATATATTTCTATATTATCAGTTGTTTAAAATGTGTTAAGGAGTGATTACTGGTTGTTTATGGCTATTTTTACGGGGTTTCCTTCTTGAGTAAGATCACTGTCAATAAAGAGTGTCTAAATTTGTAAGCAGAGGTTTATAAAATTGTAAAAATTCTAAGTATGTGTTTGTTCCTTGATGTCAATTCATTTGACATCAGACGTTTTATCTGTGAAATAAAAGTTAGAACTTTTCAACTTGCATTCGCAAATGTAGGAATTGGCAGTTTACAAGTGCAATCTGTGACTGGTGCTCGTAAATTTATGATTTTTACTTGTACATTTGTGATGTATGCATGTAGTTTCACAAAGATATAACAAAGCGTAGTTTCCAGTTAACAAGGATGAAATACATATTAAATTTATTCACATTTATGTCTTAAGGTTACAAATTTAGACACTCATACCTTTTTATTAACAGTTACCCATTATTCTCATGTTTATCTAAATATAGGCCTCTAGAATGAATCGAATTTTGAAAGTGATCATTTGATATTGGAGTCATGTAAACAATGCAGTTAAACAAGAGGTTGAAGGAAATCCGTAGACTCTACAGGGAGGATGAATTAGGTTTAATCAGGGCAAAAAATAAAATAAACATTGGCTGATGAAAAAGACTAGTAAACTTAATAAAGGGGGAAAATAAAATCTACTTAACAGAACATAACTTAATATTCTAATAATATAAATGTGAACTTGACTCCCTAGGATAGTAAACATTAAAGGTCTATGTGGTGTGTTTGGTCTGCAATAAATCAATTATACAGGAGCCAGCAAGGTATCATGCAATGCACCTAATTCAGGATTTAACCCATCCAGCTTCTGAATGATTTCCGAGGTTTCTAAGACTGTACGGTTTAATAGAAGGGAAATAAAAACCTTTATACTGAGAAGTAAAAACAACAAGAGGTATTATAGAAAATGCCCTCTAATTAAATTAAATGTTTTCCATCATCCTCTTAGTTGGAAAAAACAAACTTAATGCTTGTATAAAAAAAAGTTGGCAGTTGTCCCATACTGTATGTCTGATCACAGTCAATTCTGGTTGATCTCAAATGATTACATTTTAATGTTTCCAAAAATAGAAACATTAAAGAGAAAGTACGGTCAGCAAGAAATAATCAATGGACCATTATCCATAAATAAAACTAATACGTTCGCTGTGTTTTGATAAATTTATTGTTAATCACAAAAAAAAAAATAAAAACATTGTGATCAGAGTCCAGGAACGGCCATTATTGCCTAAATATTGTAACACCTCACTCCTGACATCTTCCGGCAGTGACGTCATGGTGCAGTAAGCCTAGCTCCATTCTCCCCGCTTTACAAGCAAACTCAATGGGAGCTAATAGACACATCTGCAATCAACAACAATTATTTTGATTTCCAGAGGACTTCACCATTGAAATTCACCAGAGCTATAGTGAAACTGACAATGCCCACGTGCATGGCAGTTGGATGTTGCAATACATTGGATAAAAGTGAAAGACACATTAGTTATTTCCCCTTTCCGATTCATGATCCACCACAGGTTCGTCGTTGGATTTCCAACTTGAAGAGGGAGGATTAGCAATCAAAATTCTGGCCAGAGAAAAACACGCCATGAATCCATTACTCTTTGCTTCACATATTGCACTGGTTTTCACCATCATGGATAGTAGCGCATTGTAACGAACACCAGATACAGCATTGGGACTTGCTCAACATCCGGTACTGCACTGTGACGTCACAAACCGGTAGGTGGCAGTAGTGTTCTTATACAAACACTGATGTCTCCAGTAAAGCCCATTCAAATTAAAATTACTCTTAATTAAAAACAATCATTTATTAAAAAAATATGTAATAATTTTATAGTTTAAGTATTTTCAGAGATTTATATTCAGAATGTGACCGGATTTTTCCTTTGAAAAAGACACTAAACAGGATCATTGATGTGGTGATTATCCCCTGTTTCATGATTAAATACAAAAAAAGGAGTTTTTATATTTTATCATAATAACATTGGTATTCATTGGTGTATTACAGGACTGATAGACACTCACTTTACTTCCAAGGCAAGAGCTAGAATTCCCGCAGCAATCGGAGCAGCACTGGAGGTTCCTGGGAAGCGTGTGACACATCCATCACCCATGTTGGTCACAGTCACCTTGTAAAAAATAAGAAAAAAGTCAGAATGTATAAAAATTGTTCTGTTCAGGACAAAAATTATTTAGTCAGCCAAAGATTGTGCAAATTCTCCTACATAGATGGATAAGAAAAGTCTGCAATTTTTACCATAGCTATGCTTCAACTATAAGAGACAAGATTAGAGAAAAGAAAATCCAGAGATTGACATTGTATGATTTTAAAGAGTTTCTTTGTAAATGATGGTGGAAAATAAATATCTAATCATATAGAAAGAAGCAACATGTCTGATCTGTAACGCCAGCCACCTGTATTAATGGCATCCGTTTGTAATTCTCTTTGTAAAAGACACGTGACCACAGCCTCAAACAGTTAAGACTCCAAACTCAATCATGGCTAGGACCAAAGAGCTATCAAAGTGCACCATTAAGGACATGTTAGACCTGCACCAGGCTGGTAGGACTGAAGATATAATGGTCAAACAGGTTGGTGGAAAGACATTACCGGTGACAAACAACAGCATTGATAATCTTCTTTAATCCTTGGCCCTGTGCAAGATCTCATCCCATGGGGTCAAAATGATAAAGTGAAAGGCGAGAGTCTTTCTACTCAAGTCAGTACATGCCCAGGCAGGCCCATCTGAGAGAGCACATGGATGGTCCAGAAGAGGAATGAGAGAATACAATTTCAGATGAAACCAGAATGGTTTTTGTTTTTGGCACAAACTCAATATTTCATGTTTGAAGGAAGAACACCTTAGTTACTGTGAAGCAACTGGGGGCTACATCATGCTGTGGGGTTGTTTTATGAAAAGGGGACAGGAAGGCTTATCCATAGTAAGGAAGAATGAACAAGGCCTTTGCAAACTCAAGCCAAAACCTTCCATCAGTGAGAGCACTGAAGAAGAAATGTGGCTGGGTCTTCCTGCATGACAACCCAAACACAGCACTCAGACAATGAAGAAGTAGCTCCATGAATGGCATTAGAAGGTCCTGGAGTGGCCTAGCCACTCTCCTGATTTCAACCCCGTATAAAATGTGTGAATGGAGTTGAGAGTCCAGGTTGTCCAGTGACAACCCAAAAACATTACTGCTCTAGAGGAGCAGGATGGAAGAATGGACCAAAACAGCAGCTACAGCAAACCTGGTGAAGACTGACCGGAAATATAATAATAATAATTTAATTTTATTGATTTCACACTGGAGAAATCTACCTCTGCATTTAACCGATGCCCTTGGGAAGCAGTGGGCTGCAATGACCTGTCATTGCCAACAGAAATGATGGTGCAAAGAATGAAGCTGAACTTTTGTAAATGACCAAATACCTATTTTCCATCATAATTTGGAAATAAAGATCATACAATTTCCTGGATTTTTTTTATTTTATTTTATATCTCACAGTTCAAGTTAACCTTACATGAAAATTCCAGACCTCTCTTATCTTTCTACAAAGGAGAACTAGCACACTCAGTGGCTGATAAAACAAAGATCGTCTTCTACAGAACATTGATAAAAACTTGTTAACATGTAGGAACTTAGTTAATTTGAAGAATAGGAACCACATGGAAGCTAAGAATAACACAAATGAAGCCATGCATCAACCAAACATTCTTGACCCTGGTTGAGCTGAAATAAACACATATTCTTCAAGGATTGATACATTGATACACTTGATACATGACCCAGGATGTGTTTTACTTTTACTAAAAACACGATCAAACCAATGGACGTCAAGTTTAGCAACAGAAAAAGAAAAAAAAAACAAAAACATGATTTTTCAGCAGCAAAGCCATAACCAATCATTCTTTTAAAGCAATTACACCATATAACTAATAAACTGAGACTACTAAATTTATCAGAAAGAGTAAAGGTAATAATTAATTTAGCCAGTGCAGAGTTCAGAGCATAGTAGTCAAGCAGAAAGAAAATAAAGCTCTGAACTAATAAAACCCTTGTGTTCCACGGCCATGAATTGTGTTATTTCATAGCAAAAAACACAGACACAGAATTAAAAACTGTTTAATGTCCAATTAAATTTTAAAGGTATACAAGTTTTCAATGGTTAAAATTCAGACAGTACAGTAGTAGCCATTCAAAATGTTCCTTATTTCCTTGATGGGCCCTTGGTTGGTCCTTGGCTGGTCCCTTTCCATTTCTTTTTTAACGTTCATTTTTTTTCTTAAACGTTTTTTTCTTGTTTTTTGGTTTTTAGGTTTTAAGGGGAGGCTTCTTTTGTTGTTCGGCCCTTTTATTTCGTTGAAGGGTTGGGTTCGGGTTAAAAAAAAATATGCAAGAGGCTCCAGTGGCTGGAAGTTGGAGGGGATTTTGCTGGGAGTTGCAGGGAAGTGCAATTCAGCTGGCTTTTTTGAATGACTGCCACTGTTGGGCTAAAACAGCACTAACTGCACACAGACGGAGCTCAGAGGCTGCAGTCAACCAAGGAATGAGTTTGCTTTTTACTTTCATCAAAGTGCAAAAATTCTGTAAAACATGCTGACAATTTTTGTTTTAATCCCTAAGAGATCACTGATGGGTAATGCCTGAATAAAATGACTGTGTCGTGGTTCTCCCCACTTGGGACTCTGAGTTTTAAGTTTTCAGTTATCAGTTTTTCTGTTTTGTTGATCTTTGGTTTATTTTCCATTATATTCAAGCAGTCTTAAGTTACTCTCTGCTGCCCCCTTGTGCTTGTTTCCTTTTCCCTTGGCTTCCTTCTAGTTCCATTCACACCTGCTCCTTATTCAGCTAATCAGTCCATCCTTTGTTCTGTTCCCCTTATATTCTCCACCTCTGCAGTCACTCAGTGCTGGTTCCTTGTTGTTGTTTGTGTCTTCCTCATCTCTGGCTCCCCACGTGAGTTTCCCTTGATGTTTTCTGGTTATTTGTTTCTTGGATTTTTTGGATTTTGCCTCAGTTACTCATTAAATCTACAAGATTCACCTCAGCCTCCTGATCTCTGCTTTTTGGTCCTCAAAAACCTGAACCAAACCCTGACAAACTGAATTTGGTTCTTTCTTTCCTGGGTTTCGGTTAGATTTCAAGTACTGCTGGATCTGCATTACTGTATGTGGTAAAGTAGATCCTTTACTTTGTAATCTGGCCTTTCTTCTTGGTTGTTGAATATACTATGTAACCAAAAAAAGGCTCCTGGAAAAGGGTCCTAAAGAGAAAAAAATATATAAAGAAAGGCTATAGATACCATTGTTCTTGTACAAAAAAAGATAAAGCTGTCTTAAGATGTCAATTGACTGCTGCACATCCCTAGAAATAATCAGAGCAACATCAGAACATCAGAGGGTGACAACAAATGGGTTAAAATAGTATTAAAATTTGTTTCTGGTAACTTTGGGAGATACTCCAGCAGTTTCTGGGTCACAGCCCTAAGAGATCTGTTTACCACTGACACAGCTCTTCCCTCCTCACTTTCTATAACTCCCACTTCTCCTTAGAACCCTGCGTCTTTCTGAACCCATTGTCTTACATCTTTTTCAGATTGCTTGTCTCAACTTTTGCAACACTTCATTTATCAGGACTTCCTTTTGTCTGTCGTTTGTGAACTAGTGCAACTTCTAGTTGTTTATAGAACTGCTATGAAAACATTATACTCATTGTTTTAGGACATATTTAAATCACATCCATCTAACATAGATTTTTTTTTATAACAGGGAAAATCTATATTTATCTATCTATAAAATATTATTTTTTTTATTCCCTGGAAAGCTCTAACTAATGAGTCAAAAACCAGTAAAATGTTAAAGTAGTGTTATTCTTACTTGAATAAAATGTACTTTATCCATCTCTGCTAAAAAGTCACTAAATATAATGACCATATCTACTTATGAATATTGTAAATCCACCAAATTTGTCAATAAGTTGGTAACAGTGTTTAGACTTTAGTGTGATCATGTGTTTTTAATGCGGTCTGTGGACAAATGTTTTTGCTATTATCCTTGTTACAATATCTGCCTTCCCGTTGAATATAAAGGTAAGGAGCTTTAGGTAAGTAATTTAAACTTGCCCTTCATGTTAGTCTGATACAGTGGCATGGAAAATGAGTCCCTTGCTAACCAGGTTATAGAAGAATAAAATTATGTAAAATGGGCATCATATCTCCAAGACACCTTATATAGAACAATTAAAAAGTATTTGCCCCCTTTCAACTTTCCGCCATATTTCAGGCCTCAAACATGACATTGTTAAATTGTAATTCTTTGAAAAATCAACAAGTGGGTAAAATAATGAAGTGTAACAAAATTTATTGGATATTTTAAAAATGTTTTAACAAATATTGTTTGTGCAAAATTATTCATCCCCCTTGAGTTAATACTTTGCAGTGCAACCTTAGAATAGAAAATCCCTTTATTGTCCCAAAATGGGGAAGTTCGGGTGTTTACAGCAAAAAGATTATAGAAAAAATTGTCACACAAATGTGGACCTTAGAAAAATGTATAAGAATAGCATAATTGTGAAGAGTTAAAAAATATATACACTAAAATACTGTACTGTAAAGTGCTTTAACCATATGAAAAATGTGCACCTGGAGAATAAACTTACAGCTGCAAGTTGCTTCTGGTATGTCTCTATCAGTTTTGCACATTAAGAGACTGACATTTTTTGCCCGTTCTTCTTTGCACAACAGCTGGAGGTCAGTGAGGTTGGATGGAGAGCGTTTGTAAACAGAAGTTTTTAAGTTCTTTCCACAGATTCTTGATTAGATTTAGGTATTGACTTTGACTTGACCATTCTGACACCTGGATATGTTGATTTAAGAACAATTCAATTGTACATTTTGCTTTATGCTTTAGGTCATTGTCTTGATGAAAGATAAATCTCCATTCCAGTCTAAGGTATTTTGCAGACTCCAACAGGTTTTCTTCCAGGATGGTCCTGTATTTGACTCCATCCATTTTCCATCAATTCTAACCATCTTCCTTGCCCCTGCAAAAGAAAAGAAGGCCGAAACTATGATGTCCACCACCATGTTTGACAGTGGGGATGGTGTTCTCAGGTTGATGAGCTGTGTTGCCTTCATACCGAACATACTGTAACCTTTTGCATTGTTGCCAGAAAGTTTGATTTTGGTTTCATCTGACCAGAGCTCCTTCTTCCACATGTTTGCTGTGTCTCCCAGGTGGCTTGTGGAAAACATTAAACAAGACTTTTTATGGATATCTTTAAGAAATGGCTTTCTTCCAAAAAAAAGGCCAGATATTTGCAGTACATGACTGATTGTTGTCCTTTAGACTTATTCTCTTGCCTCAGCTGTGGATCTCTGCAATTCATCCAGAGTGATCATAGGCCTCTTGGATGCATCTCTGATCAGTTTTCTCATCGTTTGAGCAGAAGGTTGAGAGGGGTGGCTGGGTCTTCATAGATTTGCCGTGGTCTTAGACTCCTTCCATTTAAATATTTTCTCTTGCACAGTGCTCCTTGGACTGTTTAAAGCTTGGGAAATCTTAAATTATAAATCTGGCTTTAAACTTCCCCACAGCAGTATCTCAAAACTGCCTTATGTGTTTCTCTATCTGTGGATCAT